TAACTCTATGTAGCTTCAATACTGTGAAATATATATATATACAGTTTTCAAAATGGTATTAAAGTCTATAATGTATATATATATATATATATGCAGTTCTCAAAATGGTATAAATAAGTCTATAATGTATATAAACAGTTTTCAAAATGGTATAAATAAGTCTATAATGTATATAAACAGTTTTCAAAATGGTATAAATAAGTCTATAATGTATATATGCAGTTCTCACACCTACAAAGAATCATGAATATATTTTCCTTACATAAAATAAAATATTCATACAGATCGCACAATAACTAAAAGAAGAAATAAACAGTGGCGACATACTTGTATAGTGTAAACTAGTTTCTGTCAATGTATCCAACATCAATCAACGGCACGTATAATGGGGCAAGGATGAAAAACAATACAAAATCCAAATTTCGTGTTTTGCCATTTACTAACACAATTGTTCTTTTCTGCTGTCGACAGAAACTGTTTCGTGATATTAATAGTGTTGGATATCTTATATGATTAAGTTTCAAGCCCACCTTGAAAACAATGTCAATAGATTTATGTAACCGATTCTCGAAATATTCCTTCAATAAAGTGTTTTTTTTATTTATGTTTCACCATCAATGACCGTGAACTAAATCCTCATTTTTTGTGTTTCATCATCATTGACAGTAAACTAAATCCTCATTCGCTCGATTGTCGAGACTGGTGAGAGCAGATAAGAGTGTGTTTTTTATTCCATTATTTGATGTTGCATTCTTGAATTTGTATATGGAATTTTCTAATATCGAATACGATCTTCTTTCAGCTCTCTTACGTTGGACAAGATTGCTTTGAAATACCCCCTGTTTTAGGGACTACGTACGGTCCTTTGACGAAAAGATTGGACGTTAGTTTTAATGCTTTAAGGTACGTGTTTTGTTTACTATTATATCAGTAAATAAACCATGCAAATATATAAAAGTTAGGCTCAGCTTAACTCTCTTTTTAAATCTAGGTGCACTAGCTACTACAATGTAATTTTTGAGAACGCGTACGTCTAGTACTTTGATTACTATCTAACAACACATAAGCAGTAATCAACCTATAATTTTACATTTAATAGTGAAATTATTGGTTAATTAGTGTCTATATCCTGTAAAACAAGCTGCATAAATAATTTGTTTTAATTAACAGTCGTTTGGAAAGCATTCAAAAGATTTCTATCTATAAATATAGCTTTAAATTCGATATCTATCTTAGAGTTGGTCCATATAAATCTAGGTTAACAATAACTGAAATATGCTTAGTTTAAGAAAATGTACGTTATTGGTTAAAGTGTGCTTGGTCTGTATATAAAAGTGTACTTGGTCTGTATATAAAAATGTACTTGGTCTCTATATAAAAATGTACTTGGTCTGTATACAAAAGTGTGCTTGGTCTGTATATAAAAGTATGCTTGGTTTGTATATAAAAATGTACTTGGTTTGTATATAAAAGTGTGCTTGGTTTGTATATAAAAGTGTACTTGGTTTGTATATAAAAGTGTACTTGGTTTGTATATAAAAGTGTACTTGGTCTGTATATAAAAGTGTACTTGGTCTGTATATAAAAATGTACTTGGTCAGTATATAAAAGTGTGCTTGGTCTGTATATAAAAGTGTGCTTGGTCTGTATATAAAAGTGTGCTTGGTCTGTATATAAAAGTGTGCTTGGTCTGTATATAAAAGTGTGCTTGGTCTGTATATAAAAGTATGCTTGGTCTGTATTTTTTTGTCTTTCCACTAAACTCTGTAAAATTCATTCTTTCAATACATCTAATACTGAGTAAATAGCTGCTAAGTAAATCATTTAAAAAATGCCTAGGATAGTTTATTGTCAAATATATTAAGACTGACTTACTATTATTTTATGCCCTGTATCATTTATGTGAATTGGCTATCATTAATAACAAAAGTGACGTCAGACATGACTTTTAACAAATCAAACATAAATATGTGTTTCATTCAACAGCTGTACCTATATAGGTGTCACCACTTATCTTCATATTAGCAAAATTATGTTTGAAAATGAATGTTCCTCAGTAGTTTAGTATTTTGATAAATTTGTATGTAAACAAAACCTTGAAAATATCACTGGATTCCCAAGTAACTTTTTCGTCCAAACTAGGAGAAACGATAGACGTGTAAATTTTATGTCAACAAACTTTCTTAAAAAAACGTTTTTACTGAAGTGATTGAAAATACGTTGTTCTACCAAACCATTAACCTTTGCTGATAAAAATTTATATTATAATCTGTATGAACGTCTGTAGCACCTCTTAGTGACTTAATGATCTGTATGAACGTCTGTAGCACCTCTTAGTGACTTAATGTTAATCTAAGAAAGATTGTTTTTTATATCTTCAAATTTCTGTATTGTTATTCTTATGTTTGAGTACACGATATGTCGCTGAATACTTTTTCCACTTTTAGCTGTGGATGAGTTACAAAAGTGACAGTCAATCTCGCTATTCGATTAATTAATATTAGTCGTGTTGCTGCTGACTGGTCGTCATTGCTCTACTCAGCAGTTTGGAATTAAAGACACTTATTTTAACACTTAGTCAGCAGTTTGGAATTAAAGACGTCAGCAGTTTGGAATTAAAGACACCCATGTCCACACTTCGGGGCCTCTAATTCCATATTAATTAATCGAATATCTCACATAAGGTAGCGATCAGGTTGAAAATACCAAAACATAATATACTTGTCATATTAATCAATCGAACTAATAGTTTACTTTTTTGAATGAATTGGAATATCTTATTGTCAGAAATATTTTTTGTGGGTTGTTTCTTTGTGTGCAAATAACATTTTTGTAGTAAGCAAGTGTCTAGTTGCTTTAGTCATCTGTAATTTGTTTACTTCTTTTCTTCAGGAATAACTTGAGAAAATAAAATAATAAGAAAGCGAGAAATGAAATATGTTTAAATATCCACCTTTTAGTGAAAGACTGAAGTTTATCTCTGGCTTTTCTGATGGCTATTCTTCATTTAGTAAAGTCCTTTGTTGATTAGGATATCAATTTTTCAAAGATTAAACGTTTGTAAAACACTTACAGAAACTTCTAACTTAGAAAACTTTTATTACAGATCTGTCCTCAGCCTAATCGATAATTCGAGTACAAAGTATTGTTTTTGCAAAATCAGTCACGAAGTTCCTTGTATTATTATTTAAGTCCACCTACAGACCACCTGTATTTGTATTATCATGCAGAATAGCTGCTACAGTTTACACTGTTTTGATCTCTCGTTCTCTGTAAAAAAAAACAGGTGCCTTGACACTTTAGATCAGTTTACTACCTTGGAGGAGTTAATTCTTGACAACAACGACTTGGAGGATGATGCATCTTTTTGTCACAATCCTCATCTTCAAACTTTATCTGTCAACAAGAACAAGGTATATCAAGAAAACATTTTTTGTTTTATGATAAATTTTTATGCCTTTCTTGTCTGTGAAATTTTGTCCGTTTGGATACCTAAAGTAATTAGCCATTTATTTCAGTGTTCATAAGGCTGGAAGCATTTACTGGAGCGTCTTTACTATTTAATAACACTGGTTAAAATCAAGTTTCGTTGGGAAATGTATATTTTTTAATCCTAGAATGTTTTAGCATAACAAAATGATTACAAAAATTCAGTATAACTTGTTGAAACTATTTCTGTCTCATTAAGTCACTAGAGGGTGGCTTGAAAGGACGCACTATGTCATGCAATAATCTGATTTTTCTACTGGAACAGACTGTAATCCTCGCAGAATCTCTTAAGCACTGGGCTTTATCATGACCAGAAACTTTGTAAATGAAACCCTCATTGTAGATGCTTCATACTATAAAGCTTGTAGTTTTGAAACAAACATTTATCGTCTTGCTCTACAGTTGCCATTTAGGGACGGAGATATATACATAATTGTTTTGGGAGATAATTACATGAACGTTACTTCAACTATGTTAGGACATCCAGTTTTATCATGCTTTTTACAGTGAAACCTACTGTTAACAAGCTTCTTCAACAATATTGTAAGAATATAAATCACTATATCTTCTGGGTTTACTAGATACTAAGCAAACAAAAAGATATATATTTATTTAGAAACATCTTTGTGATGCAACTTTGTAGAAGTCCAATCAAACAAATTCATTTCAGGAACAATTTTAAAAAGACGAGTTAGATTTTTTTTTCGGTGATTGGTAATAGTCTTTCACTGCTAAATTAGCGACGGTTTTACCTGAAGAGGAGATTGGCATCACAGGTAAAAATTTGACCTTGAATCACCGATGAAACATCAGCAACGGTCGTAAGTAGCCTTGAGACTAAAACGGCAAGAACAAAAAAAATCCATTAACCTTAACTTAGGCCTGACATTAACGAAATTTCCCTGCTTTATTCATACCAAAAACTATTTCTTTCTTATACACCTAATGTTTATAAAAGGAAATTATTCCACAGTTAATTAAATTATATAGTAAGTGACATTAGTACAATTTACGTATTTCGAATATCACGCAGCTTTTTAGAAACTTCAAATAATACACTTCAAACCTGCACGTGAAAGCATACATAAAAATATGTTCTAAAATATTTATATCCCATCGTCACACTAAGTGTTTTAATATCCGCTATCCTTCTTAACAATGAACATAATATATGTTCATGTAGTAGGTAAATACATAATTCCGTATAGAGTAATCTAAGATAAGGTTTAGATCCACTGCTACAGAGCAACAAGTTTGTATGTAAACAAGTTACAAATTATTATAGTGTGGGGAATGCATGATTATTGAATTCATGAACATAAAAAATAGTACGGTTTACTTTTCATCCGCATATTACTTGCTACATATGATGTCACATTGAACTAATATTGAACATCAAAGTTAGTGGGTGTGAAGCATGATTATTGAATCCATTAACATAAAAAATAGTAGGATTTATTTGTCCAAAATGTTATTTTTCAGATATATATAAACGTTCGACATCGAAACTATTGGGTAAGAAGCATGTACGTTGAACTTGTAATTTCTGTAAATTTATACAATAAAATATTATAGAAATGATCAAACTTTGAAATATCCTTCAAAACGGACACTACCTTTTACCGTTATTTTGATGTTTTATGAAATTGAAAAAGAACATATTTTGCTTCTGTGTTAACTGAAACGGTTTGTTTCCCGTTGGGTTAGCGATAAGTTTACAAACTTTCAACGCAAAAAAAAAAAAATAATACGGGGTCCGTTTTCCTACATTGGACAGCAGATAGCCCATTCTGGAGCTTTATGCTAAACGAACAACCAAATAAAACAGAAACGATTCATCAAACATAATTTTTAAAATATAGGGTATGCGATTTGCATAAACGACAACTTGAAGTCTTCATTAAGTTTTTGAACTTCTAATAAACAGGTTTTGAAAGGTTTATTGTTTTCTTATTATCTATACCTTGAATTTTTTAAACAGCAAACGTCCTGATACCGACTTAACAGCGAGATGTCATTGTATGGAGTATAGTTTTATTTTTCAGGTGTTTGATACAAGAAAGTCGATAATATATCATCGTATAGTTGTCTTGATAGTATGTACATTTATAATTAATATCAATTAGAATTAGAAATACGAAAATTATTCAGACTTACTTGAATCAACATACAACAGAAAATACCTACTGTTAACATGACTTCTGAGATCCACATTTTATGGAATATTCTTCGCCATGCAACAGGAAACAGTTGCTACTTGTGATCCACATTCTATGGAATATTCTTCAATATGCAACAGGAAACAGTTGCTACTTGTGATCCACATTCTGTAGAATATTCTTTAATATGGAACAGGAAACAGTTGCTACTTGTGATCCACATTCTATAGAATATTCTTTAATATGGAACAGGAAACAGTTGCTACTTGTGATCCACATTCTATGGAATATTCTTCCCCATGCAACGGGAAACTGCTACTGCTAACGTGGCTTTTGTGATCCAAATTCTGTGGAATAATTTTGATTTTAAGCAGCATTCCCTTTTGAGACCTATTTCTTTAAAAGATCAATTCCAATAACATATTTGTCTATTAGGTGACTTCTGCAACCTTAGCTTTACTAGGTAGATTGTAAATTATACATAAAACAGATAAAGAAATCATAATTATTTATAAACTCAAAGGTGTAATTCTGCCCCCCCCCCAAATGTTTTAATGTTTTGTCAAGGTTGACAAATCTGACCTACCACTGAACGTCTCTGTGTATTTAACTTTAACCTAAGGCTTAGCATGGCAAACAATTTATTGAGTTATTTTGATCAGGCTATTTTTGAATAGATGAACGCTTGAAGACAGAAATACATTTTGATTATTCAAAAAAAACTCAGAAGTTAGTAACATTATTAATAATGCTCTGCTCTCAGGAGTTTATAGTGAAAAACTAGGGAAAAAAGAACCCGAAAAACATTTTAAAGAACTTTTACAAATTCCATACTTTAACAGAAAATTTATTAGAAACAGGTTATTTTCTGTTATTTTAGGGAAATTAAGTAGAAAATTCATGATTATTGAAGCTTTAGATTCAGTCTACATCATCTGTTTCTGCGTCTGAGTGCTCTTCAGTTAATTATAAACAAGCCACCAGACAATATTCGATTCTTTACAGGATATAGTCTTAAAAACATCGTTAAGTAGCGATTAAGAAAACTTTAACATTCTTTGATATCCAGTCTCATATTGTTTTGATTGCTTTTCTTTCCAGGAAAGTCCATTCATAAGTTGCTCAACATCTTTTAATGAATGTAGGTTCACTTTCCGGTCTGTTTAACATTTTAATCAAACAAGCAGGAACATTTTCTGCCATATAATTGCCTCTATTTACTTTTAGTCTACGACACATTACACTATTCAGTGATTGATATCTGCCTGTTTCTATTAATTACAGATTCTGTAACCTAACAAAGGTAGTTTTGGATCATACTGAGCTATTTCATATACAAAGAAATAATAATAATAAACTTTGAGCATACTTCCGCTTTTACTTTAATTTCACCAGTTTAAACGTGAAAAAAAAAAGTTTACAGCAAAACTTTAGTTTTAAAAATTACTTACCGCTGAATCAACAGTAAAGTCCGAAATCCTGGATTATAATAGATCAAACGTACTGCTGAACAAAGAGCAAACTTCAAAATCCTGTATTATAATACATCAAACGTATTGTTGAACAAAGAACAAACTTCGAAATCCTGTATTATAATACACCAAACGTACTGCTAAACAAGCAACAAACTCCGAAATCCTGGATTATATAATACATCAAACGTACTGCTGAACAAAGAACAAACTCCAAAATCTTGGATTATAATACATCAAACGTACTGCTGAATAAACAACAAACTTCGAAGTCCTGGATTATAATACATCAAACGTACTGCTGAACAAACAACAAACTCCGAAATCCTGGATTATAATACATCAAACGTACTGCTGAACAAACAACAAACTCCGAAATCCTGGATTATAATACATCAAACGTACTGTTGAACAAAGAGCAAACTTCAAAATCCTGTATTATAATACATCAAACGTATTGTTGAACAAAGAACAAACTTCGAAATCCTGTATTATAATACACCAAACGTACTGCTAAACAAGCAACAAACTCCGAAATCCTGGATTATATAATACATCAAACGTACTGCTGAATAAACAACAAACTTCGAAGTCCTGGATTATAATACATCCAACGTACTGCTGAACGAACAATACACTCCGAAATCTTGGATTATAATACATCAAACGTACTGCTGAACAAACAACAAACTCCAAAATCCTGTATTATAAGCCAACATAGCCCTACATTATAAGTCTTCAAGCTTACTGCTGAACCCTTAAGTCTTTCATTATTAGCCATCAAGTATAACGCTGAACCAACAGGGATCCCCGAAATTCTGTATTATTGTAAGCCATGAAGCTCAACCGGTATCAAACCCCAAAATCTTGCATTATAATCCCCCAAACTTAACGCTGAACCACTGGGGATAACAAATCTAGATTATTAAATTTATTATATCAAAATATTCAGTGGGTAATTTAAGATTACTTGTTATAGCTAACCTTTTTATTGAAGGGAAAATAAATTAAAATATATGATATTTTTGTAGTGATATTTTGACTTTTTAGTTAAAGTTTAACCGAATTTTTCTCTTCAGTAAACCTGTATTAATGAAAGACATTCAATCCAGCGTTACTTCACTAATCCGGTGATTATTTACTTTCCATTATTTACCATTCATAAAATGTAGTAATGTTTAATGACATTATTAACTATTTTTGTTGCTGCGTTACAGTTCAAAGACTTGGAGAAACTACTGATTCAATTAGCGAGATGTTATCCTAATCTGTCCTATCTTAGTCTCCTTGGAAACCCTGCCTGTCCAGATCAGTTAACGAACAGTGACAAAGACGAAGAAGACTACCAGAGATATAGGTGAGTGAAAACTACATTGTTGTTTTATCAGGAAGTTTCGAACAACAAACGGTTATTTCTTGTCCACAACAACAATAACAACAGAAAGGATTACCATCAAAAACAGACTTTATGTTACCACAAGTGGAACCTCATCAGTGATCGTTTCTGTCTGTCCTACCCTCTTTATTACGTAACTAAACTTTCTACACACTGTCTTTTCACCTGCCAATCACGATTTCTTTCTCTCTCTATTTATCTGTTTCTCTGTCCGTTTATCACTTTATCTATCACATCTTCGTTCCTTCTGTTCTTCACGGTTTGTTACTTTCTGTGTTTATTTGTTTTGTCTACTCATTGCTGTATTTGTATTGGTCAGCACGCATTTTATTACTATTTACCGATCTGTCTATTGCTATTTTTCTTTCTATTCATCTTTACATCTTTGTTTCATGTTTCTTTTCCTATGCCTTGTTGTCATTCTACTCATTTTGAAATCACTATTTATTCTTTCAGTCTGTGCCTTTATTTGATTACGTGCCACAAACGAACAATATGAGTAATTTTTAGTAACTGAACCATCTTTTCAAGTGTCTTATCTTATTAATTATGTAAAAATGTATCTACTGAGAAAACGATGTATGTAAGTGATTTATCTGCTTCGAACAAACATTCTTATCAACTGTTTTATTCAAGATAACCAACAACATTTGTTGAATATGCTGATAGGCTTACATACCGTACGAATCACAACTCCCACTTAGAAAGAGCGTTATCTAATTAGCTTAATCAACCTTTTTATATAACAAGTAAATTTGAAGAGAAATAGACTGTGACTAAACCATGAGAAAGTTGGCTGAAATACTTTTTCTATCGCTTTGTTCTTTGTTGAAAAACAGACAAAGGACAAAAAAGGCACGTTACTACCGAAAAATCAGTTTTTGTAATTTTTCCTTAAATCCGTTACGTGCTACAAAATAAGCGATGCAAATTTCTGATAACACATTCTTAATATAATGATCGTAACTGCTTGCTACATCCTCGGGAATTCGAGTCCTCTCTTCTTATAATTTCATTGTGATGATCTTATTGTATTATTTTTTAGGTACTACGTAATTCATAAATTGCCCAAACTGAAATTTCTGGATTCGACCCGCGTCAAGAACCGTGAAATACAGGAAGCACAGAGAATTGGTTTTCTAATGAAGATAGCTCGACCAGAAATGACCGACTGGGTGAGCGAAGATTCTACGCATTTCATTATTTCAGTTACCACTTCAACGTAATTCTCATACAGCCATATTCTATGTTTCAACTAAGACTAATGACTAATCTAAAATATTAAATTAAAATTGGATACCTTTATCATTATTTCAATTATATTCAATAATTCTGTCACGAATTACCTGGAAACTATTAAGGTTACATTGACTCAAAAATAGAGTTTAAGAGAAATTTATTCAGCCTTGTATTTGATCTCAGGCTAATGTAAAACAAATCAATGAGTGAATTCAGTCAGGTTTTCTTTGTGAAACAATCATTAAATAAAATGCCCTTTAGAGATCCGCCACAATGGTGAAATAAATAAGACTTTTTAATCGCCCCCCCCTTGGGTTATTAAACCGTTATTTCGTTATCAAGTGCCACTAAAGTGTCACTGGTAGTAAAAATTTTACTTATGTTTATTACGTATTTTTTATAACATTAAAAATATTTAAAGCAGAAAAACTGTCAATTTAATATTTTTACCTGCGGCAACTTTACGGAGTTATAATGCTAGAATCCGAGGTTCGATTTCTGGCCATGGAGATAGCAGATAGTCTAGCTTGGTTTTGTTATAAAACAAACAAACGTTCTTGTGAATCACGGTGTTTTTATAAATAGGTAAAAAAAATGTTTAACATTTTGGAGAAGAGATAAAACACAACGTATTAAATGTATTTTTTGTTATGTAAAAAACTCTGTGTTTTCTATGAATAAAATTATGCATAAAAATTACTTGTCATTACATCAACGTTTTTCTACAGAACAAAATATTTTTTTTTCGTTGCGAAAAATGTTTTCTGTTAAAATTATAACTATTTGGAATAATTTCTTCATTTGTTTGATAGTGTGAGGAGGCTGTGGAAAACCTTAAAGCTGAATCAAGTCGGTTTTCTCCATTACCTAGAAACACCCCTCCAGAAAGTAGTCGTATATGTAAGTCATTTTCACTTAAAATCATGAGTTTTATTATAAAAGTGTTAATTATTTAAGTGAATTGGTTAATTGAAATCAGCACAACTTTACTAATTGTAATCTTGCCATTTAAAAAAAAAAAGTTCAATTTCTTTACGTTCTTGCAATTTCATACTAAATAATAATGTCATTCATTTATTGTAGAATTTCAAAGTTATGTTGGTCTTTATGAATAAATTGTAAAGTAATGTAAGATTAGCCTAATTATTTTGAAACATATTGACCTGTACTTTTATTTCAGTAATTCTTCTTCTTTTCAGGTGCTTATGGAAAAATTCGACATCATTATTCTGGTAAAAATTCAGAGGGAAACAGATTTATCCGAAACAATGAACTCTAGCTAACAATGTTTAGTTCTGGAATACACCACTAGTCTGTGATAACATCTTCGTAAAATGGTCGTCAGTATATATGATATAATTCTTCTCTTAATGTCAACACTTCGTAATTCCATGTATATCTTCTAAAGACTTTAGTTTAAATTGACTCATGTATATTTGCACAGAGGCTAGAAGCTGTCGTCGCATTTCTCTTGTTAATAGGAAATAAATATTTGATATTTAATGTCAGTTACTATATCTATAATACCAAAACCTTAAGTTAAATGAGTGAACTACCTCTACTAGGCCTAACTAGTAAAAGCATTGGAAAATCAGCTTCAAAGGAGATAAAGTCATTACATCATACATGGTTTGAAATGTAATGTTGTTAATAAAAGGCTGTTTTTTTTAACCAAATTAGCGAAGTTTGTAGTTTTCCGGTTAATTTTTAAGGCTATATAAATCTATTCTAATGCTTTAGTTTCCAACTATGCAACGTATTGTGAAAATGAAAGCCAAACGTGTGAAAAAAAAGGTCGTCGTGAAAAAATAATATAAGTTTGTGCCGATCATAGTTTTTCTACATGAATCTGGTTTTCAGAGGGAATGAACAATACGAACTCTATTCTTCATCTGTGTCTACTTATCACTTGGGATAGTGAAGTAAAAATACTCAATGGAAGATTTTGTTTATCTTCAGTGTCATTCATTAGTTACCAAAACATGTTTGTTTTACTTTTGTATCATAACAACTGTTCTTAAACTTAATCTTATAATGTCATCTTTGTTTTAACTGTGAATTTTTAAGCTATAACGATTTTTTTATAAATGTTTTAAAACGATGTCAGTTCCTCTGATATTTGAAATAATAGATTAACAACTTATAGCGTAACTTTACGCAACAAATAAAGACATACTTAGATGATTTTCTACTAATAGTTGATTGAAATAAATTGCAAAAAATTATATTTCTTTTAAAATTTCTTCATGCTTTAAAATCATTTATTAATTCCTTAAAAGTATACAATTTTATTTTATTGCTAAATCATTTCATGACGAAGAATTAGAAAATTTTCTTATTCTTGATTTAACAAATTATCTTAATAATGAAGGCAGCATAAACTTAAATGTTTCATCGAATTGCAATAACGAAGTCGTATAAATAATTTCAAAGTTTATATCATTTCTAAGAGTAAAAGAGATAAATGTTATATATCTTCGAGTTTAAAAGCAGTGTATTAACCTTATTTTTCAAATAATCCCCTATTCTGATATAAAATCCTTTAATGAATACAAAACAAATTCCAGTGATGTTTTTGTTGTCTTTAAAAATTTTCCACACAAGTACAAACAAGTTAGACTTGTGTATTTTAAATACACAATAGACAAAAGTAATAGGACTAAAACTTATCAGCAACCATCCTAAACAATGCCTTGAAAGAACTCCTATCTTAAGACTCAATGAATCTGCAGTAAGCCTGAATAATAGTTAAACCATGACTATCCAATATGAACCCATAATGTACTTCAACAATGCTTTAAGCTTACTTAAACAACATAAACATGATTGTAAAATGCCTATGAAATAAAATAACTAACTATTGCAGTAGACAGTATATGAAACCTAAGTTGTCTTTATAAAAGAATCCATAATAATTTAAAACAAACTTTAAAAGTAGTGTGAACCTATAGTAAACTTGCACAATGCCTTAAACGCTAATCAGAGTGAATGTTTGGTAAAACCTAAACACCATTATAAAATCGAAGTAATCTTTAACAGACCTATAGTGATGCTGACAAAGCATATAAAATCTAGCTAACCAACAGGAACTTATTGAAGACCTAAACGATACCTAACCAACCAGCTTTAAACCATATAGTGTCTTAAATCTGCCTAATCTTTATGGAATTATGGAAGGCCTAAACAATGTGCCTTAAATCTAATTTTATGAGTACATCATAATTCTTACATGTGTGTTCGAAACGAACTAACTAGAATGACCCATTGTAAAACTGCATTGTAGGCTTAAAGCTTAATTAGCAACGTGAACAAAGATAAGGTTGAAGAATGCGTTAATATTTAATTAAAGATTATGAACACTATATAAAAAACCCGGACTGTGTGTGTGTTAAGTATCATCAACTAGCATGATATTAGTGATAATCCGGAACAAAAGTTAATAACTTGTAAAAAACTTTGGCTGAATATTGTGTTATTTCTACTTAGTCAAACACGTATCAATTAGTTGTAAAAGCTGTAATGAGTGCTAAGTTATTTCCATAACGTGAACAAAGATCAATTATCTTAAAACATGGGTTTGGTTTAATGTTATCTTTACAAATTGGAAAAATGATTAGTTGGTTGTATAATATAACTTAGGTTTTACGTTTGATTCATTCAGGTGAACAAAAACGTTGGATTTTATGTTCTCTCTTCATGATAATGTGAAAAGCTGGGTTTGTTTTGAATATTACCTATTTTAGGTAATGTGAAACATGATCCATTACTTATAAAATACTGGGAATGGTTTTCATGTTATCTCTACCAATGTGAACTAAAATCAAGAATGAACTAATTGTAAAAGATGGATCGTGTTCTTACATTAGCTCTACTATTGTGAACAAGGATCAGACTATTTGTAAAGAAATACTACATCGTTTATGTTAGTTTTAAACAATGTGAACTTGAATAAGTTATAAGGGAATTTCCTTCAAATAGGCAACTGGGGCAAACTATAGAAACACTAAATTTGCACCTGTGCTGCTCAATATGTTTTTAAAGTCGCATCAGTAATGGCTTAAATAGAGAAGTTTACTATATATGGATTTTTCCATATATATATATATGACGATATTTCCAGTAAAACGAATTATATAAAATAGTAGAAACACAGTAATTCTGAATATATTATTTTATCATATAGTTAGAATTGAAAATGGTTCTACATTCTCTTTGACATTAAAAATGACATGGTTTTCCTTATCTTTGTTATAGAAGAAACATATGTACTTAGTGATATTGTTTTCCCTCTGTGTAATTCGGAGTGCTAGAGTGGATATCCATTAGACACAAGTTTTGTTTGCACTTCAATTATTTGTAAATAGATAACTTAGTTCAGACGTACGTCAGTAACAAACCTTTATTATAAACTGTTTATTTGTAGTATAATCTAAAGCTATTTATAACAATTACTGTCTGACGATGATGGAGTTTAATACTTATCCAATTGTTTCTGGATCCATTGGTAATGTAATAGAACCTCATGTAAAGTACGAACCGTAAATAATGTTGTTCTATTCTAGTTTTCTCGGTTTAGAAAGTGATATTTATCATATTTGCTGTAGTTACAGTTGTACATTTTTTAGCACAAAGTTATACAATAGGCTCTCTGCGCTCTGTCCACCAGAGTGTTTCGAATCCCGGATTTCAGCGTTGTAAGTCCATAATCTTACTGCTAACCCACTGGGCGACTTTTGCTGAACCCAATGACCTGTTAAAAAGCTGTGTCTAGAAAAAAAGCTACTAAATAGTATATATATATACTGAATTAATCATTCCCGAGTTACACTAATTATAAATGTTTTTGTTTACGTGCAAGGTTTTTTTGTTGTTCTCTAGTGTGTGATTGGTGTGATTTCACGACAGTAAGCAACAGATTTGAAATACTTTCTTTATTAACGCAAAACACTGAAAACCCATATTTATATTCTGCACATCCACACTAAGTGGTATATAACATCAAAATCTAATTAGTATCTTCTGCAGAAAAACATGTTATTTTAGTATAACACATCTGTGACATCACCGAATTTTAATATAATAGTGAAAAAATCACAAGTTTAGATGTAAATATTCAAACTGATTCATGCATTTTATTCTATAGAAAGTATCTTCAGCAACATGCCTGCAATTAATTTCGTGAAACTTTGAGACGAAATAATATTTTCAAATACAATACTAATACCTCACTGTTTCAAAGAGTTTGAATTGAATAGAAAAAAAGGATAACTTTAACGTACCCGTTAGAACGTATGGATTACATTGACACTCTTCTTTCATCGACACTACAAACGCGCTTCCCGAAACAATAATTTTGATCACATTTATCTTAGAGACTGATATTCAGTAGAGGAAATGGCCTTTTGATCTTTCCGTATATAATAGCTAGCAGAACGTAAGCTGGTAATAAAATTTGGAGCGAATTATTGCTTAATTTTGGCATAAGTTGTGCCATTTTTATCAAGTCCTTTAAGACAGTTTTGAAACCTCTGGAAGAAACTGAAAACGCTTTTCGCACCAGCTTAATCCTCACTATGGCTGACACTTTCTTAGCCTTTGTGACCACCAATTCTATGACGACCACTTCTATGCCCTCCTCCGCCGCCTCTTCCTCCATGACTTCCGATATTATAACCACCATATCTTCCCTTCTTATATCCTCCTCCTCCTTTTTTGTAGCCGTATCCGTCTTTGAAATACTTACCCCCATTTTTGAAGTCATTACCATAGTAATTATCGTATCCTCCCTTACCGTACTTGTGGAAATCATCGCCGTATTGGTTCTTATCAAAGTATGCCCTGTCGTCATATTTGTTGAATTTTTTACCAGCGTGATGATCATAATAGTCATTAAAGTCTTTGTACTTCTTACCAAAGTCCCTGTCGTGATAGTCGTCGAAATAGGATTTCTTGTCCCCATACTCTTCCTTGTGGTAGACATTCTTAAAGCCATGTTTCTTATGTCCATAATCTTTGTAATAGTCATTACCAAGTTTACCACCTTTTTTCCCTGTACCACCAAACTGGTCAGAGCCGAATTTTTTCCCTCTTAGACCACCATCCTTGGAGTAGCCGTGGTTGTCCTTACCGTATTTGTCATAAGAATGACCGCCTTTGTCATATTTATGCACTCCGCCATAGTCGTCATAAACCTTATGGTTCTTTCCTCCATGTTTGTACTTACCTCCGTAGTCGCCATAGCCACGGCTACCTTTACGAGACTTTCCATAACTATGACCGCCTCTTCTCAGATAGCTACCTCCTCTGTGTCCACCATGACCTCTTGGACGGTACCCACCGTAACCTGTTGCTGCTGGTTGAAGATCTGAGCGTTTACTTTCTGCTGCTTCGAGGTCATCTTCTTGTGTTTCGAGTTTCTTAGCGAAACTGATTGAGATCAGCAGGACGAAAATCCCGAGCTGGATCTACATTAGGAGACAATAATTATATCACCAAAGATATTCAGATCATTTAAACTAAAGTGTCACTAACATAAGGATGGCTGTTGGTATAAGATGGAGTTTTAGTTTCATTACAATGAATCAGTATTTTTTTTTCTTTTTCATTAAACACTTAGTATAAAGTTTCTTTAATGATGATGTATTTACAATTAATAGAAAAAGGAGCAATGAATATTTAAACTGCACTGGTGACATTTCTACTATGTACTTACCCATAAGATCTTAGACAGCTCCATTACAACTGACTACTCTGTTAAAACTAGATGAAACAAACAGTTTTCTATAAATTACTGGGTACAAGCCTTCGAGCAGCTTGCCTTGCTGGAAAACCGTCTTTACTGAGTGACAGCGCTAGCTTGCTCTGTTAAACGTGCTTTGAGGCAGGCCTTAAATACGTTGCACCGGAGCTGACGTTTCACGAGAATAATGTGAGATGAAACGCGTGGAACATCATTAGTTTCAGGCACTTCAACCTCCCGGTAATCTCCTGATATAAAGAAAATATACAAAGCAAAGAAAATATATACTTTGTTAATGGAAGAAAATTAGAATTGACTTTATTGTCATGCTGTGCAAAGAGGCGTTGCTAATGTTCAGTCGAGTGACAACAACCAGTCGTCCGGATCCGAAAGTAGTAAGTTTGCTCCATTTTATTTTTTCTTTAATTTTAATGCCATTAATGAAATATTAGCCTGCAAACAGACTTCAAGCTGTTAGAGACCAAAACTATTTGGCTATCACGTGACTACCATTTTTCCCTAACACTATTTGTTTTGAGTTAGTTTTAAAGACACCCATGATTTTTCAATTAACACTAAAAAAACGTTAAATTCTCAGTTTCATTTCAATAAAAACTGTTTTCACAAGCCATTAATAAAGGTTTAGAAGTTACCAACCACAAAATTCAGACGTAAGTAAAGATAGTTTTTTATAACTGAGACTTTAAAGAAGTAGCAGTTTTATGTGATGTACTTTTCTATTTCAGTCAGTTCGTACTATAAGGAAGAGGCCTTAAAGTGATGTACTTTTCTATTTCCGTAAGTTCGTATTATAAGGAAGAGGCCTTAAAGTGATGTACTTTTCTATTTCTGTCAGTTCGTACCATAAGAATAATGCCTTGAAGTTATGTGCCTTTCTATTTCTGTCAGTTCGTACCATAAGAATAATGCCTTAAAGTGATGTACTTTTCTATTTCTGTCAGTTCGTACCATAAGGAAGAGGCCTTAAAGTAATGCTAACATAAAAATAAACAATAATTACTTGATATTCTTCTTGCTTATCAGCAACATAAAGTGTTGTTTGGTGTCAACTTCTTTATTCTCTTTATTACTTTGAGCAGTTGAATATTCTACCATTAGGGAGATAACTTATTTCATAAATACTCGTATTTCTCAATATCTTATTACGTTCTTTAGTGAGCTCATTGAGCAGTAAACATGCACAGCTTGATGTGTTTATTTAACTCATATAAACCAGTATATTCCCCACTCGACTCTGATCATGAGCAGTAAACATGCAGCGCTTGATGTGTTTATTTAACTCATATAAACTAGTATATTCCCCACTCGACTCTGATCATGAGCAGTAAACATGCAGCGCTTGATGTGTTTATTTAACTCATATAAACCAGTATATTCCCCACTCGACTCTGATCATGAGCAGTAAACACGCATAGCTTGACGTGTTTATTTAACTCATATAAACTAGTATATTCCCCACTCGACTCTGATCATGAGCAGTAAACATGCACAGCTTGATGTGTTTATTTAACTCATATAAACTAGTATATTCCCCACTCGACTCTGATCATGAATGTCCAAGTTGGAAACTGTGAAGTAATATAAGTTCAAATGTTGAGTCACAGTTTGGTGGCTTGTATACATATCTAAAGTTGTTGTCAGCTTTCACTTTAAGAGTAGTACACACACACACACACAAGGGAACAAACGACCATCGCTGACTACAAAACCGCGAGCACTACTGTTTTGACCAGATAGAAAGGAAAACGTCTGTTGTATGAAACGCTTTTTTTTTTAGTTTAGAAGATAAGTCACAAGAAAAAATGATATTCGAAGATAGGTTTAGAATATTACTGAATCTGAACTGTTACTGCTTGTTTCTTTTTAATGAATATGAACAAAATGCTTTCATTAAATATAGATATGTGACAAAGATTCATATACAATAGGCCCGAGTATATTACGCAAATAAATCATTTACTGCGGAAAAATTTCGAATCTTTCTATTGTCTGCTGTTTACCATTTTGATTTCATTAAACATTTTTTTACACTGAGATTTCAATCGCTGCTATTTTTTATCAGAAATCGGACTATTAGATTAGATCGCGAATAGTGTAAAGTTGGCTTATATTTCGGAAAGTAGTTAAAGTTTGGTTAACCAGAGCATGTAGATTAAACAGGCCTGATTAAATAATATCCTCGATGTCCACAAGATGTCCGAAATGGTTGTGTGCATCATGTATCGCTCCTCCTTCTCCCCGCGTTCTGATTTTTTCTTTATGAGATTAGTGAGTCGTGAGACGTTCAATTAAGAAACTTGTAGCTATTGTATCAATGTTAATGATTCGTAAACTAATCTCTAGTAAAACCCAACTAGCCAACAAGATTTTCTCTTACGCTTTCACTCTTCTAATTATTAAAGATTAAGATCCTTTACTTTTCTTTTAATATGATGTACTGGTTATTATGATCGCATTTTCATTTTACTTTTTTTTATCGCGAATTCCTAGCCTTTGTTTCTGGATTCTTACTCGCATAATAATGGATTTAAAAAGTTTATACTAAATATTTTCCGAAGTATATATAATACACATTCTTTATTTTGTGTTCGTTCTTCGTAGAATTAAAGTTTCGTGTAAACTATCAATCAGAACTGGCTAGATTGTCGGAAAGCTGATAAATGATTAAGATGTCTAAGAATTAACAAGAAACACTAAAAACTAAAAAGAAGCTGACTACATAAAACATTTTTTCCCACAAACACGAAAACGTAGTTCATTCTAAAGCAAACGAAAAGTAACTAAGATTAATCATCCTTAGTCTAGAACAAAAATATTCAAGAACTTTCAACACAAAATTATAGTATTTTGGCACTTGTGTATAAAGTTAAAATCATAAA